GAACCAGCAGCAAACCCGGGAAGGGCCGAGCAGACAAAAGAACAGCGCAGGGTCCTGTGTCGTTCCTCCATGAAGAGGGGGAGCGACAATGGACCAATGGAATAGAACTGAAACCCCAGAAATTAATCCACACATCTACAACCAACTAATCTTTGACAAATGAGCAAAAATCAATCCTTGGAGAAAGGACATTCTCTTCAACAAATGCTATTAGGAAAATAGGGTTTCCTATTTTAGATGCAGAAGTATGAATCAAGACCCCTACCTTTACACTCTATACAAAAAGCAACTCACAATGGGTTGCAAGTATATGTAAATCAATAAAAGCTATACACTACATCACTTAGCAAAAGAAAAATCATACGATTCTTTCAGTACATATAAAGAAATTTGATAAAGATCCAACATCAGTTCATGATTTATACTAAGATTAGATTACTAAAATAGGCACAAAAACAACATCAATCAATATAACATAGGTCATACATAACAAGCCAATAGCTACTTCATACTGAATGGGGGAAAGCTAATAACTTTCTTTCTTCCTAAGACCTGGAACAAGACAAGGATGTATGCTTTCACCACTTTTATCAAATATAATACTGGAACTTCCAAGGAGCAATTAGGCAAGAAAAGAAATAAAGCATATCCCAGTTGGAAAATAGCAAATCAACTTGTTACTGTTTTCAAATCAACAATCCTATTTATAGGAACCATAAATACTCCATCAAAATACCTGAAATATTTCCCACTGCTTTGAAATCACATGATCTCATTTATAGAACCCTTAAATGCCCTGCCAAAAATCTGTCAGAACAATGAACAAAGTCAGCAAAGTCAGCATTCAACAATCAGTAACTATTGCTGACAAATGTATTTCTAAAAATTTTAGGTTTATAATGTTATTTTAAATGATTTTCCCCATTTTAATTTCTAGATCATGATTGTCAACAGAAATACTCCAACATGGAATTATTTGAAAAGGAAATCAAGAAAGCACACCCATCTCCAATATCTACAAAAAAATTACCCATGCATGAATTTAACCAAACAGATGAAATAGCTTACAATGAAAACTATAAAACATTGCTGGAAGAAACTGAAAAGGATACAAAGAAATTAAATAAATAAATAAATCCTTTTTCAAAAAATGTGCATACTATTCAAAATGACTTGAAGATCTAATGAGTTTCCTACCAAAATGACAATGAAATTTTTCAGTGAAGGAGGAAAAACACTTCTAAACTGCAATCACATACATACACACACACAGACACACAGACACAAATCCCTAAACAGCCAAAGCAATCTTGAACAAAGGTAACAAAGCAGGAGGCATTACACTCCCTGGTTTTACAATACTTTACAGAGCTACAGTAACTAAAACAGCACAGTGTTCGGATCAAAAATAGTTTGAACAGACTATGGACCAGGAAAGTAAACTCATGCTTTCCCATATTTGTTACAGTATCGTTCACAGTAGCCATACAATGAAAACAAGTTTACTGTCCATAAACTGCTAGGTGGATTTTTTAAATGTACACACACACACACACACACACACACACAGTGGAATTCTGTTTGGGCCATAAAAGAGATGAGATACCTTCATTTGCAACAGCATGAATAGAACCTGAGGTCACTACGTTAAATGAAGTAAGGCAAGCACAAAAAGTAAAGGACCAGATTACCTCCTTCACATGAGGAGCCTAGAAAAAAGTTGATCAAACAGTTCAGAGTATAATGATGGTTACCAGAGGGTTAGAAAGAGTGAGATATGGACAACGCTTGATCTGTAAGTACCAAGTTACAGTTACATAGGAGTAAGAAGTTATGGGGTTTTATTATACAGTAGGATAACTTTAGACAATGATAATGTACCATATACTTCTCTTAAAAATACTACAAAAATGGATTAAGGATGATTCAACATGAAAAAAAAAGTTGTATTTGAAGAGACAGAAACGTTTATGCTGATTGGAGATAATATATACATGTCACACATCACATAGTACATCATAAATAATACAATTTTTAATGTCAGTTAACTTTTTTAATATTATTTTTAAAACGAATCTGTAAAATAAACCAAAAAATGCCTTAGATACACTGTTCTGAATCAAATGATATATTTCTAATATATTCTTTTAATGGACACCTAAAAGCATATTATTCTACAATGCAGACAAATTGATATTTTTAACCCTTCCCATATTTATGGTCATTCATTCTATTTGCACATTGCTGTAGTTTTTCCAACTTGAAATATTCCCTAATACACATACTTATATATTACAATTTTATATGCTGATGGTTTTATTCATATGGGTTTGATTCCCGGTCACAATACTGTGGTATCTAGGACACACATATTTTATTTATTTTTATACATGTTACCATATTTCTTTCCCAAAAGACTGCAAAATTGTATATTGTCTACCAATGTATGAACTTACTCATTTCCTTGTGTTATAGCTGGCAATAATTTAATCCATCTCAACATTCTTTCCAACTGAAGGTGAATAAATAACAATAATTGTTGTTTAATTTACACTTCTCTTACTACCAGTGATGTGGAACATCTTCTCAAATGTTTATTAGCTACTTGACTTTTCTCTTCTATGAAATATTTATTTATAGTCTTTGATCTTTTACCTGTTGGACTGTTTTTCTTGCCCACTTGTTTAGCATAAATGTGAAAGTTCAGTTGTCATCTTAATTATCATTTACTTTTAGTTTGGGTATTTTTTAACAATAAGGAATTTTAACTCTGGTATACTTGAATATAATATAGTGTATTTTTAGAGCATCTGAGTTTCTTATCTTGCTTAGGCAGTCATTCTGCCCTTGGGTTATGCATAACCTAGATACCGTTCTAGTATCCATCCTTTTTACATTTGTTTTTACTTCATTTATAATGCATTGGATATGGTGTAATGTAAAAGCCCAAATATATTTTCTTTCACATAGCAGTTGAGCAATCACTATTAACAATCCACCCTTTACCCATGAACAGAAGCACTAATTTTGTCATATATTAAATTCTCATATACACTGGAATCATTTAACAAATTGCTCTTCTTTGTTTAATCTAATTTCCAAGCTCTAGGACAATGCCTAACTATTTCTATCATAATCATCATTGCCTTTCTAACAACAGTCACGTAAATTGTCCATCCCAGCTGCTTTTTTCCTTACATTTTTCAGGACCTTTCTTGAATGTATTATTCAATATTTAATACTTTTATAAAATTCCTCCTTGGATAATACTGTCTGGAGTCTAACTGAAATTACATGAAATTCTTACTTTCATTTTAGCAGAACTAACACTTTAACCTCACTCAAGAATATTATCTTTTCCATTTTTAATAGTTTTTAATCACCCAAAGAGTTTATAGTTTTGTGGTAACAATTCTATGCTATTCTTGGTAAATGTATTGCTAAGAATTTTCTGCTTACTTAATATTTTAATGGATTCTCCCCATTTTCATTTCTAGGTCCTGACTGCCAACAGAAAATCAAAGCATTTATTATATCTTCTATCTATGTATTTTCAAAATTGTTTTATTATACAATCCTTGGGATTTCAAAATATGTAATAACAATCTTTATGGTTTAATGATTTAACCTTTTTTCCTAATATTGTATCTAGTGAGTCCATGCTGTAGCATTTATTAAGCGTCCAAAGAATGTTGAGTATTGAAGGTAACAATCAGCATTCCATGTATTTCCTGATCTTAATTAAAATAGTTTCAAGTATTTTTTTAAAGGTTATTTATTTATTTGACAGGTAGAGTTACAGACAGTGAGAGGGAGAGACAGAGAGAAAGGTCTTCCTTCCGTTGATTCACCCCCAAAATGGCCGCTATGGCCGGAGCTACGCCAATCCGAAGCCAGCAGCCAGGTACTTCCTCCTGGTCTCCCATGCGGGTGCAGGGGCCCAAGCACTTGGGCCATCCTCCACTGTACTCCCGGGCCACAGCAGAGAGCTGGACTGGAAGAGGGGCAACCGGGACTAGAACCCGGTGCCCATATGGGATTCTGGTGCCGCAGGCGGAGGATTAGCCAAGTGAGCCACGGCGCCGGCCCCAGTTTCAAGTATTTGAAAGTAATTCCCTTTTGTTCATATTTGACTAAGAATAGTCCTCAAAATTTTGTGTAAAACACTGTTAGCTTTTTTTAAAATCACCAAGGTTTTGTTCTCCTTAACTAACTGAACTATTTTGCATTTCTGGATAAACTGTAGTTGGTTTTAATAAATCTTTTTTTTCTACAATGCAAAATTATATTAGAAATTATTTTACTGAGCATTAAGTTTATCTATTTTCATTTGTAAAATCAGTCTGTAGTGTTCATTCTTCAAACATCTTTAACGAGGGTGTGTATTATGGTTGTTATCGTCAAAAAAAAAGGTTTGGGGGAGCTTTCTGTATTTTCCCATCATATAAATTGATTAGATAATTTAAGAACTATCAGTTCTTTTAAGATTCGCTAAAATTCAGGAAAATATCTGGTCACAATGTCTTTTAATTGTATTAAAATACACATAATATAAAATTTAGCAGTTTAACCATTTTTAATTGTACAACACAATGGCAATAAGCACAATTACAATTTGTGCAACCATCACCACCAAACATGTCCAGAAAGTTTTAGCACAGCAAACAGAAATCTGTAGCAAGTAAACCGTTAACTTCCCCATTCTCCCCTATATCCAGTTCCTGGCAACTCCTGCTCTACTTTCTGCCTCTATGAATTTGCCTTTTTTAGTTACTTCACAGGAATGGAATAACACAGTATTTTTGTGTCTGACCTATTTCATTTGATATCATGTTTTCAAGTTTCATCCATGTTGCACCACCTATCAGAATTTCATTCTTTTTTAATGCTGAATAATATTCCACTGTGTATACAATGCCTTGAAATGTTCAAGAAAAAATGTAAATTATGAAAAAAACTTCACAAGGATTTTGGAATCTTTAGCCCCAAAATAAACTTACCTTTAAATTTCATATTTCTATGAAGTCTTTGAAGTTTCCTCATATCCGCCACGTGTCATCCATGCACTCATCTCTCAATGGACCCTTGGGCTGTTTCCATCATTGGCTATTGTGAACGATACTGCTGTGGACATGGATGTGCAAGAATCTGTTAAGTCTCTGCTTTCAGTTCAATAGCGTATATGCTAAGAATGGGATTGCTAGATCACATGGCAATTTTGTTTAAATTTTTTGAGGAAGCAACAAACTGTTTTCTGGTGGCTGCCCTGTTCCAACTGCAATGTACAAGTCTTCCTGATGTCTTTTTCTTAATATATATTTATTTATTTGAAATGCAGAATTACAAAGAGAAACAGGAAGACACAGAGAAAGAGATCTTCCATCTGTTGGTTCACTACCAAATGGCCACCACGGTTAGGACTGGGCCAGGATGAAGCCAGGAGCCTGGAGCTTCTTTCTGGTCTCCAACACGGGTGCAAGGGCCAAAGAACTTGTGCCATCTTCCACTGCTTTCCCAGGTGCATTAGCAGGGAGTGGCTCAGAAGTGGATAAGTCAGGACTCGAACCCGTGCCTTTACAGGATGCCAGGGGCTCAGGCAGTGGATTCATCTACTCCACCACAATGTTGGCCCCTCATAACATCTTTTTTAAATGGTATGTCTCCATTTATCTCATCCACTTCTTCAGCTGCAGGTGTTTTATTTTAGTTATAGACTATTAATTTTAGTAATGTATTCAGGGAAATCAATATTATTCCTTAAGTTTTCAAGTAGGTTCCATGTCTTTTATTTTGCCACTTAAAGTAATTGAAGGCTATACATTTTCTCTGAGATTTTTCTGTTATGTATATATATTTTTTAACAGGCAGAGTGGACAGTGAGAGAGAGAGACAGAGAGAAAGGTCTTCCTTTACCGTTGGTTCACCCTCCAATGGCCGCCACGGCTGGTGCGCTGTGGCCGGCACACCGCGCTGATCTGAAGGCAGGAGCCAGGTGCTTTTCCTGGTCTCCCATGGGGTGCAGGGCCCAAGCACTTGGGCCATCCTTCACTGCACTCCCAGGCCATAGCAGAGAGCTGGCCTGGAAGAGGGGCAACCGGGACAGAATCCGGCGCCCCGACCGGGACTAGAACCCGGTGTGCCGGCACCGCTAGGCAGAGGATTAGCCTAGTGAGCCACGGCGCCAGCCCCTGTTATATTTTGATAGTCTTTCCTTTTATTGTTTCGTAGGCTAGTTTATAATTTCACTTTTTATAATATTTTTGATCCAAACCTTTCTCTAGCTCTCACTCCACATCCAAACCCTCCATGACCTTGCTTCCCAGGTGCCCCCACTGAGCACTCTATCAGAATTAGACCTTCACCTGGTCTTTCTTCCTCTAGCTCCAAAAGCTGAGAAGCTCCAGGAAGTAAGTGGCTGAGGGAAATTGTGTCTCATTTAAGGATATTTCCAGAGTCCTCCCCTCCTCCTTTGCTTTTTTACTCTAATTATTGCTCTCTACTCTTAAGCTGTATCATATGAAGGAAGAAGAAACGGTCTCCATAGTGAGTTGGGAGACTCAAGTTGATGTTAATAAAGCATGGCCAGTAGCTGCATGACCTTAGTAAGTCAACTCATGTCTCTAGAATTATGTCCTTGGTTGTCATCTACCCAAATCGGAACTCTAGGCTCCCAAAAGGGAACTCTGGGCTCCACTGCAGTTCTACAATTCAAATTCTATCATTGTAGACAAGAAAGCTCAAGGAAAGAGAGAAAAGATATGAAAATAGCTCAGGTCAAGTACAAAATGTCAATTACAAATTTTCAGGGCTAAAGAACAAATATAATCTTTTTGTCTTAGCAATGTAACAAAACATTATATGCATGCTAATACATAGCATCACTAACTTTTAAAGTTATGAGTTGTGAATAGGGCTATATGTTTTAAAGCCAATTCTATGCTTCATTTAGACATCTATTAACCTAAATTGAATGGCTTAAAATTACATATTGGCCTCCATAATTTTCTAATTCAACTCATAAGTGATGAACAATCATGCATTTGAAACGCATGTATGTCTGAGAATTAGAATTATTTTGTGTCTGTATTCATTTCAAGTCACACTACACTTCCTATCAACCATTGAAGCTAAAATCAGAACAAATTTCATTGTGTAGTAATCCTCCTTCCTCCAAAGTTTAATGAGGAGAACAGATTAAATTGTGCAAGCTAAGTTTTCACATCCACTCACAAGAATGGCAATATTTCTTCTTTATTTTAAAGGAGAGAATGGCAAACATAATTCCAAGGATTTCCGGTAAAACTTAACATTTAATTGATTGTCTCAGAGCCCCTCTAAAGATCACTAATGATAATTCTGGAAAACAAGTCACATTTTAATGCTTCACTCTTAGCTACATTGTTTCTTGCATAGTCAAGGTTTGTAGAATCAAAAGTCAAAGATAAGATTTTGTTTGCCCTGGAACATAAGTAGACCAGATGCCTCCTTTCTAATGATGGTCTGATTTTAAATTATTTAAATTAATAGATTTTACTGAAGCCTATTATGAGCAGATGTTTTGCTTTTAATGTGAGATGATGAAGTAGGCAAAATATAAAACCATGGAAGACTTGATGCCTACCCTTGAGGAAATTATGACATGATTCAGGAATATTAAAAAAAAGAAGAAGAATTCTGTACACGGTGACATGAAAAATAGCTACAAGGAAAATTCAGACAATCAAAATGTCATTGTAAAGGGCTGATGAATGGCTCCCCAAAGGTATCCACGGCCTAATTCCTGGAACCTGTAAATGTTACCTTACACAATAAAGGGGACTTTGCAAATGTGATACAATTGAGAATCTTAGAACTGAAGATTATCTGGATTATGAAAGTAAGCCCAGTGTCATCACAAAGGTCCCTAGAAAAAGGACACAAGGGTCAAGCGCAACACACCAGATCACAAGCAAAATGAAGGAACAATACAAGGAAGGAACAAGAGCAGGTGGCCTTGGAAAGCTGAAGAAGTCAGCAAACAATTCTCCCCACAAAGGTTCCAAAAGGAACCAACTATAACCCAGTAAGGCTGACTTGGATTTCTGGTCTCCAGACTGGTAAGAGAATAAATTCAGAGAGTTTCTGATTATTTGTTACAGCAGCAATACAAGATGAGTACCGTCACAGTATGATTTGAAAATGCAAAAAGTAATACCAGATTAAATAATAAAATAAAGCACAATGGAAATAAATTATTGATGAGGATGAAAGCACCTTATGCTAATGGAAATCTCTCTCCAGTCTTGGTCTTCATGAGCACTTTCATCAACCTACTTACTCCTGGCCTCTCTTGGTTCTTTAATTCCTCAACAAGCCCTCGTGATAGTGAGTGATGTCTGTACTGAATTTGGCAGTGGATTTGGGGGAATTGGTACGTGCTCAACTCAGTTATCCAATTTTTGTTCTTTTTTTAAAGATTTATTCATTATTTACTTGAAAGGCAGAGTTACGGGGCAGGTGGAGGGGTAAATCTTCCACCCTCTGGTTCACTCCTCAAGTGGCCTCCAATAGCTGGGGCTGGGCTAAGCCAAATCCAGGAGTCTGGAGCTTCTTCGGGTTTCCCATGTGTGTTCAGGGACCCAAGAACTTGAACCATCTTCCACTTATTTCTCAGGCCATAGCAGAGAGCTGGAGAGGAAGAGTAGCAGCCAGGAATCCAACAGGCACCCATATGGGATGCTGGCATTGCAGGTGGTGGCTCAACCCTATACACCACAACACAGGCCTCTGTTATCCTTCTTTGTTAAAAAATTTTAATTATTTATTTGAGAGGTAGAGTTACAGACAGAGAAAGGGAGAGACGTGAAAAAGGTCTTCCATTCACTGGTTCACTCCCCAGATGGCCGCAATGGCAAGAGATGGGCCGATCCAAAGCCAGGAGCCAGGAGCTTCTTCTGGGTCTCCCATGTGCATTCAAGTGCCCAAGCACCTGGGCCACTTGCCACTGCTCTCCCAGGCTATAGCAGAGAGCTGGATTGGAAGAGGAGCAGTTGGAACACAAACCAGCACCCATATGGGATTCCTGCCCCACAGGTGGAGGCTTAGCCCACTATGCCACAGTGCCGGTTCCCTGCCATTCTTCTTAAAAAAAAAATAGATTTTCCAATTTGTCCTCTCTCCATGGGAAACCTGGCCCAGGTAGTACTGCTATGATGGGAGGGGTGAGTGGAGCTATTTCTAAGGTATACGTACCAGGTCAATGTGTTTCTCAAACCGAACTTAATTCTCCAAACTGTCTATAAAAATAATGAGGTATTTTCTCTATCTTTACATTTCCTAAATTTCTCAAATTGTTTGAAAACTGGATGGGAAATGATGGTGCAATATTTGGAGTGGGGGAGGGTATTCTCAATACTTCTAACTTGTAGTATTCGTAGAAGATATATCACTTGCAGGTACTGCAGAAATATTTTGCATAGCTTTTTTTTGGTTTCTGGTTTGTTTTTGTTTGTTTGTTTTCATTTCTGTCTCCCAAAAACTTTATGAGCAAAGACCGGTATTCCCTGCAGTTCATAGATAATAAAAGCAAGGCATAAGGAGTAACTTGCTCAAGGTCTCCCAACCTGGAATTGACAAAGCTGTGATTCACTCCCTAGTCCTTCTCACTTCAAAGCCCGGGCTTTTGGACACTGCATATTTCCCTCCTTCCTCGAGGGCAGGAGGTCGGAACTGAATACTAACGATGATTCCTAAGGACCGTTCTATCTCAATGGCATCAATTTTTGTTTGACTTTCAAGAAAGTTGCTAGATATAAAGCCCAAATAAAACAAACAGACCAAACAGATCACAGCGGTCTTGCTCCGTGATCTAACTTAAATGCTATTAATTGTCTGGGTCACTTACAACTTGCCTTTCACCTGGACACATCCCAGATTTGATCACAAAAACAAAAACCTCTACAAAAACTTTTCACCACTTAAAATACAGCCTCCTGAGAAGCTGTTAATCTTGCATGACATGAAACTAGCCTCCCTTAATCAGAAGCTGCCTATGGAGTAATCTCAAAAAATGCAGGCCTGTGGTTGAACATTAAGATATCAGACTTTGATCTCATTTGACCAGTTTTATTTCACTCCGATTCACC